TGACTGTCTGTCTGTCTGTCTGTCTGTCTGTCTCTCTCTCTCTGTCGCTCGCTCTCTCTCTCTCGCTCTCTCTCTCTCTCCCTCCCCCCTGTCACTCAACTTTTAAAACATTCCTATAATTGGGTATCCAATTGCTATTGCTTTGAAATCGTCCAACTTTTCTTTCACGATGGTTATTTACATTAACAAGACGAAAATAAATTATGTCTTTACAAAAGATAACAAGTTACTACTCTACCCCACTTCAGGGGAAGAATTAATGAGTAGAGAAATATATCGTTAATTTTGAACACAAAACGTTTATGTACGTGAACACTTGTTTTCAGAAAAGTGGAATGAATGTTCATGAACCTCTTTCTGATTTGTCCTTTTTTCCTATCACACATCTATCATCCTTCTCTTTTTCCTTTTTGTGTTTGTTACTCTCTTGTAACACCGCCAATCTTCGGCACTTATATGACCTTATTGTGTTGCAGGTACCGTAAAACGCTTACTAAAACTGAAAACTTTCTTTCTTTTTATCTGCCAGAACTGCTTAAACTTTCGTATGGAGTGCTCTTTTTACTAATAATATTAGTAGTACTTGTATCACCAGTTGCAATTAATGTTGTGAACAACGAAATGAATTTGAGACAAAAAATGTTTGACCTGATTTGGGAGATACATGGTTAGAGTAAGACACCGACGATATATTATGGTCACTGTGTAGACATTTTCCTCCTTAAAAAGAAAATTAACTTTCCAGTTGTTGATAACGAGGGAAATATGAGGTTTCTGTTCGTTTTAATGAACTGTGAATGAACTAGATTATGAGGCTGAATACCGTGGGCAAAAGTATCGTGGAATAATGGATGAGAACAATGACGAATGTAATTTATGAAAACTTTCCCGCAGCAAAACTGGGCGTGCCGTTAGCTCAGTAGTATCATGCTGGACTACGGAGTGTATGGCCCTGGTTCTTTTTGTTTTTATTTTTAGAAACTGTTTTGCGGCGCTCGCAACTGCATAAGGTCATATGAGTGCGCGGGACACTTTCAGTTGGTAGGAAATTTTGAATGTTGCCCGGGGGGCGGCTGAAGCCTACTCTTACCGATTTTAAACCACCAAGGATCTTTTACATGCGCAACTTGCACACGAGACCTCCAAGACTTTTAGAGAAGAAATGTTTTCCGTCGCTACCTGGATTCGAACCCGGGATCTTTGAATGAAAGGCTGAGACCTTTCCTCTTGGCCACGAGAGCCCCCGGCCTTATGGTTCGAATCCTACACTGGGCGTTCTGAACTTGGTTTGTTTTGGGGGGTTTAGGAACGGACGTTAAACTCGGAAACCACGCCTCTTCAATAAGGGTGTAAAATTAGTAAAATTTCATATTTTCAGCAGGGATATCACGTAGAGACAAATGGGCTGTTCAAAGCAGTTCTTTTGATAAACAAGATATTTAGGTGGAAAGTTGACAATAAATCATGGCGTTTAAATTCCTTAATTTTTGTTTGTTGGTTTTAAAGTTAAATCAATCGGCGTTTGCAGTGTATCGGGTAGGCGCTTCGCTGTGGCTCCTAGGAAACTTGAGTTCGAATCCCGAATAGGGAGACATTTGTCAGACGTGCTGTCAAAATGAGTTGCTTCTTGCACTCCGCAAATGGAGATATTGGCCAAAAATCGACACTAGGGTTACATTTGTAGACTTTCTATTGATGCCATATTCTTTAACTATAACATGCATTTTATTATTTCGCAAGTCTTATAAATTGTAATTTTTTTTTACCTATATGCATGATGTATCTGTTTCCATAGGGCTCAAATCCGAGACATAATTCATTTTGTCAGCACGCTTCACTTTTTTAATCAAGTATCTCGGTCTTTCTGGTGGTACCTCTCTCAGCCAGAGTTTGTCGTGACAGGCAGGGTCAGAATATTGCTTCCTAAAGGATCAAAAATGATGTCGATGGGGCCCTAAAAATATCTACATTTAAACAAAAAAGTTAAATCTCAGCTCTATTTCATTTCACCGCCCAATTTCGCGAGATTGTTTTGGGTTTTTTTTGTTTTTGTTTTTGTTTTTTTTTTTTTCTACCATGCGCTTGGTTTATTGTTGATCGTCTTGTTCTCAATTGTGGGGGGGGGGTGTGCACTCACGGTACATCCTGTTTCTTCACTTTCCCTCTATTGTTTTTGTCTTTTTGTCTTTCTCCCAGTCTGCACGCAAAGGTACGGATTTTCCTGATAAATCCAGAATAAATGTGGATATCTGACACTGTCTGGATTTTGTGTAGGGTCTTGGTACAAAAATGTAATAGATATTTTCACGAGTATGAAAGTTTATGGGTTTTCTCTCTTTTTTTTTTAAAGTTTGTTTTGTTTTGGTGTTTTGTTTTTGTTTTTGTTTTTGTAATCAGTGGGCACCTCTGATGATACTGGGCTCGGCGATCTCATCAAAGGCGGTACTGTTCTGTCTCTGAGCTACAGGACAGACATGAGATTGTCCAAGTGTTCTTTATGAAGTAGACAATAAGAAAAGAAATACATGTGGAGGAGGGCGGGCGGGGGGGAGAAATGGGGTCATTCCATGGCAAATGAGTCTGCAGCGATACACGTAGCGCTCACATAATTTTTTAGATGAGCAGGTTTCCTGGGTCAGGAGGATTGGGTGTTGTGTGTGTGTGTGTGTGTGTGTGTGTGTGTGTGTGTGTGTGTGTGTGTGTGTGTGTGTTCTTTAATAGAGAAAATCCGCCTTTCTATTGAGATGATGTAACCCATGCATCCAGGATTGTCCTGCTGAAAAAAATATGATTACTGATAGAGACATTCTTTTAAATTATTATTATTATTATTAGTAGTAGTAGTAGTAGTAGTAGTAGTAGTAGTAGTAGTAGTAGTAGTAGTAGTAGTAGTAGTAGTAGATGTTGT